TTATGTGTGACCCTGTCCACGGTGTCTTGACCTTTTTAAGGTGGTCGGCGAGCTCTTGTCTCACGATTGAGAAGTCGGCGCCAGTGTCGACCAGTGCTGTAACGTAATGTCCGTCAATGATAACGCCAAGATCGGCACGTACAACTTCTTCGGCATCAGTATTTGCCATAGTATTCGTTGTCGTTGTCGTCATATCTTCTTGCGATGAACTTTTCAGTGTCCCGTCAATTGCCAACCTTCTTCTTTGCACCTTCTTCACCTCGGTCATGCCCCCGGAGGTCACATCAGTTAGTTTCTCCGGCGCGGGCTAGGCGAACGGCCTCTGGTGACGTCCGCGTCGCTCTGAAGGAAGTCACGGTGACGCGCAGGTCACGGAGATCACCAGCAATGCGGCAAAGTTGCTTGGCCAGTCGACAGTTGATCGGCATCGAGGGCGCGACGGTGTTCAGAGCGGAAAGAAGTGGGTCGAGAAAAGTTTCCGAACCCGGAATCACCATGACGGCAATAGCGGGCAATGTCACCTGGTTCCCCGCAGCGGAAGCGAATAGGTCGACGGTCGGCCATGCGCCATAAGTCACTTCGGCGAACTGGTGGTCGTCTCATAGAATTCCGTTGCCTCCAAGGTACGGCAGCGGGTCGTGACTGGAAGGGCGTCGCCACAAATGACGTTGGAGGATGACGGACCACATCAGTGTAGCTCGCTGGATGTGGCTCAGGACTTGGCGCAGGTGGTGGAACGGCTTGCCTCAAGTCCTGGCGGACAATTTCGGCAACAGATGCGATGGGTGGTTGGGTAGGGGGAATGCAGAGGGCCTGAAGTTCCTCAGGTGGTATTTTCCTAATCATTTGTCACAGAGGACTTTCGCAAACGGCACTGTTCTTAGCTGCAGCACTTACTGCCGTGTGGTTCAGCAGGCGGTCAAAGTTTAGGCATCGTTGTTGCAGTGCGCGCTTGATGACAGTCGCCTCGCTTATGAATTCATATACTGTTGTAGGTGAATTTCATACGAGGCTCGCAAACACTGGTTCCTTAACACCCTGCATTAGGTGACGCACCTTCTTCGCCTCGGGCATGTCAGAGTCAGCTCGTCGAAACAGACAGACCATACCCTCTGCGTACATGACAGCTGTTTCTTTGGGTTTTTGCACGCGGGCCTCAATCAGTTGCTGTGCGCGATCTCGTCGGTGCGAGTTCAAAAATGTGGCGCGGAGCTTTTTGACAGAAACCTTCCCAAGATTGAAAAGTATCCTCGTGGTTTTCGTACCACGTGTGAGCGCTATCTTCCAGAGCGAAATATTCACGGCCAAGTTTGTGCTGTTCGCTCCAGTGGTTGAATACAGCGACCCGTTTGAACTGTTCGAGCCGGTCCTCGACACCCTCGTACTCCTCCCCCCGGAAAACTTCAGGAACGCAAGGATGTTCAAGAGTCACCTGCGAGGGAACAGTAGTGTGCGATGAAAGGATAACCGTGGATGTCGTAGGAGCTGCCATGCTGGAAAGAGGCGCAACAGGTGTGGGCTGCGGACTTAGGTCCAGTAGGCGCCGACTGAATCGGTGCACAGGAGTCATGACGAGGGGCTGAGTCTCTGGACTAGGTGAACGGGTCCGAGCAAAACTGTCCTACTTCAGGTTGTAGGCTCCGGCACCTCCACCCGAGTCACGATGTCAAAACAGAAATCTTCCCGCAGAGATTGAGACACCAGAAGCAGGCTGGTTTTTTTAATAGAACACCCAAGCAAGTTCTTCTTTTTCGTCTATTTTATAGTACTTCATGACACATGCACAACTGTCATCGTCTTTCTTGAGCAAGCACGTGACAATATTGCAAGGGCATTCAGTCAAGGGATGACCTCAATTTAAAATGCTGTGGATCAATTAGGGTGTGCTGCTTAGCCCTAAATAAAGGAGGCTTGGGCCTTTTTTTTATCCGTCATGTTCATGGTTTTGCCCTGACTATGCAATTCGCATGCACTGGTTTTGGGATAAACACAATTTGCTGGTATTGTTTCTTGAGGAGCTGCCTGACCTTTTTCTTAGCCAAATGATATTTTATAAAAACTAATCCTCTGTGCAATTGTAAAATCAACCACGAGGCAGCTGTTGGTTAGTGTAATTTATATCATCTTCCGTGAGAATAAACGATCCTCTATGCGAGAGAGAACGTGGTCCCGTTATGATAAAATGTGAGCTCTAAGAAAACATTAAAGAGACACCAAATAGAAAAATCATTTTTCGTGTATTAGTAAAGCACAGTTTAGCAATCCCTAAAACACCACTCGTACCATGAGACACCGCTTGGTAAGCGGAAAAATGCGCAAAAAGAAAGTGGGCGTGCAGACGCCACCTTCAGGTTCCCACACGAAACACTATGACGTCATAAATTTTTAAGGCACCTGCTGGGTCTTATGTAGCTTCTGATCAATAAAAAAAGTGAATTTACATCTGTGGGTACCATGAACCTAGTATACCAAGCTACAGAAAATGTCATTGAAGCAATGTTGTGAAAATGCAAGAAATCGGCCACCAATCCACAAAGTGAATGTTCATGTTGGAGCGGCCGTACCTACGTCCTGGGGTCTATAATGTCAACGTTCAAGTCACAGACTAATATAAGGGACCAACGGACAAAAGTATGGACGGGCGCACATATGAACGCATGCACGAAGGGTCGGACAAAGAGAGTGTGGTCTAATTTTTAATCATAGGGACACAATGAATGCTCCATGCCCAATATATTTAATACCTGTGTCTCGGACTGAGGGAGCTTAGAACTACAGCGACAACGGACATCGGGAGAGCTTAAAAAGCTTCGCTCGAAAAAATACTGTTTGTATTTTATGATGTCCAGCGTGGATATTTCGGCACAAAATTTAACAACGAAACGTTTACACTAACTTTCTGCGATAATAACGAAGTTAGGATAATGAAATAAACGCCATTGAGGTTTTCAGAAAGCAGTTTGCTAATGTAAACCAAGTCATTGTCTTTTTAGGGTCCCTTGAAGGAGTTACACTCAATGTATATTGTTTCGTGTGTGATGAAAGTTGGGAAAGGTATATAATAACTTGTGAATAAGCCTCTATACATGAATTGACAATTTCGTATTAGGTTTGACAGGAAAGGGCGAGAAATAGTGACCAAAAATTGTAGAAAATGAATAAAAAGCAAGAAATGTTTTCACATTAGTACAAATGAAATCTCTGGAGTGGCAGCTGAATAATATCATAAGTACCACAATGATGGTGAAAGAAAAATGATTACTGGTGATAAAAGTTTTTGCCTGAAAAAAAAACATGTATAACTGAAGTGATTCAGCTGAATGAATGATGTGCGAAAATAGGTGCTTTGAGCAACAAAACAACGAATATGGGCTTTGTCGGCATTGTACACGTACAATGGTAGCAGCGTCTATTGACCACCGATACTGTTTGTTAGAATTTATTCGGTGTATATTAATGGGCTCAGTGTACGAGATGTTTGTAAATGCGAGACACATATTGGAGCAACGTGTATAAGGCACTGCAGGCTTGACTAACTTTTAAGTTATAGGACACATCTATGCTACGTTTGAGACGTCGCCACAGCTGAAGACGTGCGTAGAACTGACTTCAAAATAGGTTTTTAACAAAATAGCGAAATATAAGAATAAAATACAAGAACAAATGCCTGTGTATGCGTGCTATCTATGGGTATAAAAGGGAGTTATAAAATAACGACTTTACGTAATCTTCACTACTGAAAGAAAGCTGCAATGTTTGTCCAACTATTTTGTCACCGTTTTGCCTAATGGTAATGTTTGAAGCACTTCATCTAAAACGTGGAGGCACAAAATTTTCACATTTTAAGAGGCCTGCTCTAGGCTTTTTCTCTGCGTAGGCACACAACATGAAGCGTCCAATAGAACAAACTCTGAATATGTGTGTTCCATTGCTTACTTGCAGCACCCAAATACTCATTCCCGGATTCGAGACCCATCGCTATCGACTGTGGGAGCAACGCCAATGTGCTCTAATAGTGACAAGTGATTTCGTGAGGTTACACTAAAATAGAGCGACGTGAATTGTGCGATAAGCCAGCAGCAAGGCCGCTTCACGCAAGCCGCACGAGCTTCGGCTGCAAACATATGCGAAGGTGGCATTCAACATGGTTTATGGTTACAGGCATCCGGATGGTTGCTGGCGCGTGTATGTTATCGAAGAGGCTTCAACACCGCCTGCATCACAGCTTCTTATATCTATGTGACCTAGCTTTAGTGACAGTCACATCATTCAACACACATAAACCGAAACCGAGCCCGTCTCATGCTGATTGGAGCATCGAAAATTCAATAACTCCTGCACAACAAAATTGATATATCAAATTCTTTGCTAATTGATGACTGCGACAACCTAATGTTCTGAAAAAAAGGTAGTATTAGAAGTATTCGCTGTACTTAAAACAGCGTCATGCCGAACGGAGTCCTTTAGTGAGCTGCACTAGTTTATAGATGTTAGCCTTTTACTTAGGAAAAAAGGAACACCTGGCCGTAATGTTATTTACAAGAAACGCTCATGTCGCGATAAGGCTAAACCTTTTGTGAATATACGTGCTGTTGTTATGCCTAATGAAACACACCAGTTGGTTTACAAAGTTTTCAAAATACACAAACCATCTCTAATATCAATATATAACTGAAAGCAAGAGTTAGAAAACCATACAATACACACCATTTAGGTAAAGTTTAAAGGTAACAATGAACGGGAATGTCTGGTCGGATAAGTGATTGCGCCAGCTAGTACAACAAGCCATCGCAGCTTGATATCTCAAACTGTATGTTCAAAACACTCACGTGGGCTCCTTACCAAGATCTGCCACTGAAAGATGCGTATAGCATTAAAGGGGACACCTGCAGTCCCAAATTTCAGTTTGCATCACACCGTGATACATCACAAAACTATTTACTTGTGTTGAAGCATGCGGTAAACGTATTTGCAACTGCAGCATCTGGAGGGTGTGGCTCTGGCGCATGTGGACCTTTGGAAGTTCCAGTAAAGGGTAAACCCCAACGGGACTCCTTCTGCAGACCTCTGTTCACACCCACCTGGCAGCGTCAACTACTACGCAGATGCCTTTGCAAGCGTGGGTACCTTCGAAATTCTTGGGACGAATGCATTCCACGCATGAAATGCTTCCCTTGCAAGTTCCGATGGCAGAGAGACTATCACACATGTATGCCTGGATGCCCGAAAACCTGCGACATGCCTTTCGGCTTGCCATGTAACAAGCCATGCACAGCAGGCTGTGATTGTCCCCCTGGTTATGTTGTGTAAGTATTAGTTGACATTGGCAAGTATAAACATGCAATTTGTTCACACCAACGATATTCCCTGGAGTGAAGCGCTTCAAGACATTACGCCACAACATCAGGCATTCCGTTTGCAGAGCGTTCAAATAATGGTACAATTTATAATTATCCACCATGCTGCTAGATAAGACAAAAATCACAACGTGTGTTAGCGGGTGCAGTCCCCGAGGGTGGTGTATTGTTTTTCCGTTCCTTATATTTTTTGTCCCGCAACTGCTACACTTCCACCTAAATATTCTCAACACTACCTCGTACACCTATCTTCGATTCAGTAGAAGTAAGCATCTAGCGAAGCTAAAGATACAGTTTTGTATGCTTTTCATAAAACTGGTAAATCTCTTTCAAAACATCAGTAAAAGTCGTACGTCTCACAAATATTTACCTATCATCCTTTATTACTATAACGATCCTCTGAATTTTTATAATCACAATCCGTCTATTGATAAGACGTGATTGTTCAATTTCCTAGTTCCAAACCTGTCATTGCTGCAATGCTTTTGTCGTGGTACCCTTTTCAAAACATTGTCGTCTTAATTGGTAACAAAACCCGCAGTGACATGAACGCTTCTTAGTTTTTAATGTGTTTCTGCTTCGTGTTTTATAGTTTTGCAAAAGCCTGGAATTGGTATTTTCCTGGCTTCTTTTCTCTATACGTACTCACATTATTTTTTCTCTGTAACATTCAAATGGATTATTGTATAGAGCATACACGTGACGTTATGAATGGAAGTTGGAGTTGGGCTCAGACACCTTAAGTGTTTTCTACTGCATGCGCGCGTTTTCGTCCTTTTCTTATGACCCTGCATCATACGTTGCATACAATTTGAATACGGTTTAATAATCACAAATAACATGCGTACGTGTATTCAAAAACATAAATCAGTTCTTTTTCTGTGCAGGAGCCCAAAGTTTCCCAGCATGTGCACACCGATCAGTAATTGCCGTCCACAATGTCCAGCAAACTCAAGTTTCATGTGGTGCGTGTCAAGTTGTCTTCCTAAATGCGGCCAAGTCCCTCCCAAAGCATGTGGCATTAAATGCGATGGTGTGGGAAGCTGCGTATGTAATGAAGGATACGCTGAGCTGGAGCGAAATGGCAAGAAGACGTGCGTTCTTCCGAAAATGTGTCCCCTGCTTTCATTTAATCAAACTATATCTACGATAGAAGAAAAAAGGCCTACTGAAATGCCTAACACCTCAGAAAAAGTCTCGAAGCAGTCATTTGCTGCATCTTCACCTGTTTTCCAGCAAAACATATCGGCAAGTATAGGATCGAGTATTCAGGATGCACAGCCAAGCGCTACTAGAGGATCTGGACACCCACCAGTCACTGTAGGTACAGAAGGCGAGCATTTACCTGCTACCTCAGGATTGGGTGGTACCCTTGCATTCTCAGTTACTGAAGCTAGAGGGAGCAAGCTGATGTCCATCAATGCAACAACTACGCGCAGTGGTCCGTCAAGTGGCACTGCTGATACTCCAAGTGCTGGAGGTTTGACAGTCACCTTACATACAGGACGTACGCTTCCGCCGACTACTTCAGGTATGGGAAGCAACATGGCATCCCGAGTTGAGGAAGCTGGGGGTAGCAAACTGATGTCCATCAGTGCTACAGGTACTCTCAGTGGACCGTCAACTGGCGTTGCTGGTACTCCGGAAGTTGGAGGGTTAGCAGGCAATGTAGGTACAGAAAGTACGCTTCAACCTGGCATCTTACAAACGGAAGGTAGCCTGACACCCCCCACTAGTGAAGCTGGAGGAAGCAAACTGATGTCCGTCAATGCAACAAGTACATACAGCGGACCGTCGAGTGGCACTTTTGGTACTCTAGGAGCTAGAGGGTTAACAATTACAGCAGGTAAAAGACCCGTACCTGGCATTTCAGGAACGTACGGCAAACTGACATCTTCAGTTATCAAAACTGGCAGAAGCGTTCTGGTGTCAATGAATAGAACAAGTGCGCTCAACAGACCATCGAGTGCTTATGCTGTGGTACCTGAAGACATGCTAAGTGCCACGTCAACAGCTGCACTAGCCACAGCTTCACCCACACCTGTACGGTATGCTCCACGTTCTGGCTTACATTTCTTCAGACATACAGATCTGGGTGTGGCCACAATCACTGCACATGCTTCGCAGTCATATTCTTTGACTCCTTTTTACGCTCACTTATTGAGAACGGCACCACGTAGTTCGAGTAATTTTCTTTATTACTCAAGTATGCCGCCATTTTATGGTTGTGAAAATGATGGACTCGCCGGCTTTTGTATTAATCCCTGGGCTGCGCCTTCGCCTCTCGCAGCGCGGCGTTACGTGACAGGCCCCAGGCTCTATCCTTGGCGCACCAATCTACCAGGTGGCCTTAGTTACGGTTGGCGGTTCTTAGGAAGCTATTCATGGATTTCATCCCTAAGCCACCATTGGGCACTTTAGTGCGAATAAATGATTTGATAACAGTGGCCCGTTCTTCCACAGCTCGCCAGGACACGGGTAGCCTGTTTTCTAGTTTCAACCAAGTGATATAATTTCACCATTCACTTCAGCTCTTTCAATGCGAGGATAGGAACACAGCCAGGCGATTGCTGTAATGACATCTGCTTACTAGTGTCTGCTATTTTGCATCGCATTAAGTTCTTTTGATTTATGTAGCTATTTCGACAGCTTATCTAACATTACGCCTGGAACGTCTCTCTGCTTTTCATACCCCCCCCCCCCTGCCCCAACCATTCGCCGAGGACGGCTTACTTCAGCATGTAGCGATATGGTACACGGGGAGAGCGTTCGCCTCCGTACCGCTTAGTCACGTGACATGACGTCGCAGCGGCGAGGGTGATGGTAGTCTTCAAGATAACACCGCGAGAAGCCCTGACCAGTGGCCACTGTACAAAAAGATGGAGATAACTGGCAAAGAAAGCGCAGCACATTCACGGCGCACGTTCTAAGCATTGTGTTATCGCATAATTTGTTGGCAGCATGTAGCCATAGTGCTTTCATTGTGCAAAATAATATGTGTATTTTGTTCATTGGCGAAAAACTATGACCCACAGAAACTATGAGCAGGCCTAGGCGCACATTTGTGTGACATTTGGTAAATGAACTTTGAAGACCGAGCTCCCTGTGAAAACGAAGGCTTCATTTCTAGTTTTCCCGACGGACAAGAGAAGAAATAAAATAAACGGTGCATTCGCAAATGTGTTGCAAATTTTCCTTTCCACGACCCCATTACAGGAGCTACTACAGTTATAAAAAGGCAAGCATGACTTTATTCAACATAAAGATAAGCAACAGCCTGAATTTTAAATGTAATTTCTTAATTTCTTGATGATGAAAATGTCATACCAAAACAACAACACTCTGCGTAGTCTTCTATCTCCTGCTTTTAATTTCACATCGCTTCCAATGACAGTTGTGCACAAGATACCACGGTTGCATTACAATACAATACGAACGACAGCGCCTTCATGAACAATTAGCTTGGCGGCCTCGAAGACGCAATAACGGGGCGGGGCAAATATGGATCTCTAACACCGTTCCCGGGTTTGAAATTTTTGAGGTTTCTGCCAACACACGGTGTTTAGAAAACGTTCTGTTATCATTGTCAACAGTTTCAGCATTTTCATTTGTCGCGTATTCATTAGAACTGGCACTGGAAGCACCAGATTCCCAAATCGAAGTGGTTGAGGTATATCCTGCGTTATTAAAGTAGTGCCCACATTTACCACAAAACCATCAAACTGTTTTTTTTTTCGGCACATCGAGAACGAGCAAAATACAATTATCGTACAATTCTCTATTAGTGGCACTGTCAAGTTGTCAGTCGTTCTTTGAAAACTTTTAACGCATTCGAATGAGCCCGTCTTTCTAATCTTGCGGATATCATGTTCACCTTGTTATTTTGCAAAATATATATACATGCTCCTCTACAGACCCGAACGCCCGCTTTGTTTAAAAGTTCGCTTTGTCTCTCGCCAGACTGCCGAGCACCTTTTTTCTCTGTGTAAATGTGCGTGGCAAAACATGTGGTGATCCAAGCGGTTTCAGAAGATATGCATATTGTACACGTACCTTCATCTTACTTACATGGTATTATTTTATAGATTTACAAAACTCGTAAATAAGGCTTTTTTGTCTGAAGATGGCTCTCTTAGTAGAAACTAGAAATTATATGTAAAGCCACACAGTATTCTGGGTTTTCTACTTCGTTTCTACTGAGAAGTTTCTTTTTTGTAATTTGTTGCATTCACATATTTTGATGGAGAACGCGTACACTACTTTGCCATTACTGATTATACGGTTTTTATATAATGAGTAGACCAGATTCGATATACCAACTTGCAAAGAAAGCTCTACAAATTCTCAATGTTCATTTATAGATTGCTAGTCAATAATATATGAAGCATATCTGAGCTCACAATTTTATCTTTAAGCATTCAAAGGTTTTTTTCAATCAATGTTGATGGGCAATTATGTCATATGTCACAAGTTAATAGCCTATACACAGTACCTTACCAATACGGTCTCTATGCGCTTCACACTATTTATTGACGTATTCACATATTTTCTTCTGACAAGAAAATCTTGCCTGTCACGATTGGTAGAGTAAAAAAATGAAAGAAGAGTAAATAGTGGGCATGTTTCTCTCAAGTGAAAGCTATACTTCAAAATTTAGGTGTATGGTGACCGCCATAACTTCTTCTTATTGTTTTTCTCAGCCCATTCTCTTCTCCCAAAAAGCAAATCTTTTTCTCATATTTGGGCAATCATTTGTCCCTCCATTTTTTTATACTTCATTTCGAAAATTGACACGATGCAGGCCGAGTCACAGACCAACATCTTTGACCACAACGAAACGCAGCGCCATCTAGTGAGTTCCACGCAAAACACAACGGCCTCTGAACACATCGACCTCGAAAACATATTTGTAACAGCCGTAGTTCAAGGTCACAGCGTTGCTGCGTCTTCTCAAAAGTGTTTGTACATTGTGACCTCTTGTCCGAGATGGTTGACGCAGTGCAGCAGCTGCCTTTTTTGGGCACACATGCTCTCTTATTTGTGCACCGCCATTGCGTTTTCTGGGTTAGGTTTAATGCGCAACGTTCCCACGTAAGAGCCGTGTTCAACCTGCACTCTCCGACACTGTTTTCCACCCGAAAGCTGGGGAATCATGGTCCGTTCACCACGCCATACCCAGACCACTGACGTCCATGCGAATTCATTGTCGCTATACTGCCATTGTTCCCAGCTAGGGTCTAAGCCTTGCCGCACCGTATGGTGAATAAAATCAACAGTGACGCGGAAACACGTAGGTGCCGATTGGGAAACCCCGAGAAATTCTTAATGCGTATGAACACCTGCTTCTGCTGGCGAAAAATTGCCTTTATCGTCAAGACGGCGCAGAAGGCTTGCACGTGTACTTGTGGCCTTGTGGCAACCTAATATTGACGTTGTTACGGTGATCGGTTGCTTACCCGAATGGCGATTTGCGGTGTTTCTGGCCTCCACCCTAGCACATAGATGCCCGTGAAGAACCTATGCCAAATGAAGTTACTCCATTGTCAGCCACATTGACGTGCCTGATAACCCTACCGAGAACTTCTATAAAACTTCCTGTCTGTGCTGGTTCTGTATCACTGACGACATTTCTAGCTTAAAAGTTTAAGAGAAACAATAGGAAGAGAAGAGAACGCAGACTACAGGGTTAGTGCTCAACATCAACCGACTTTACTTCGCAAAATGCCACGGACTGTAGACATCCTATGCGCATGCGGACCGCCACTCCATCGCTAATTAAGCATCGTATCAAATAGGCTATCATCGCTGGTGACCCAATATATTGAAGTGTCTATAATACGGTGTGCGTCATTGTTTTTGATGTGATAGCTTTGCAGTAACCCTTTTTCCGAGGTATCAGTGCTTCTACCAAGGATCGTGATCTCGTGTAGCCGATGGCATATGTGAAAGTCACGCAATGGACCGTGCAGTGCCCATTACTTTTAATTATTTTTGAAGGACAGCTCACGTTCCGAACACGATCGTTAATGCATGTCGCAGTTTTGCCGATGTAGGATTTTTTTTACACGATAGTGGTATGGCACACACAACGCCGATAGCATACTTTACGTACGGGCTGGAATGTTTATCTTGTCATTCATGTTTTTCTTTATATTTTGGCACAGGCGTGAGCACAGCCCACCAAGCTGTTGAGGCGCGGAGAACACGGTGGGCACGCCGAGTATGGTAGCAACCTTCGTAAGGTTGCTGTTGATATTTCAATGCTAGATTACCTCATCTTATTATTTCAACTGTGTAGCTTTACTTTTTTGTGCTTGAAACTGTTTCTAGAAGTTTGTTCGCTTTTTTTCTAGATATGTATAACTAAGCATCCTATTTAGTATGACTTGTTTTTCAGTAGCTTAGGTTAGGTTAATTTGGTTTTTTATGGCGCAAAAGCAGCTAAGGCTATGCTGCGCCAGACACAAGACTTTCAGAAATGGACACTAAAAAGATGAGATTTTAAAGCTTATTTAACAGGTTACATTCTTGCAGAAACTTTAGCAAGTCAGGCAGAGGTACTGGAGGGTCATCTCCTAGGAACAAAGCAGGGTGTAAAGGTATGTGTTGTTTGTATAGCTTGCTGAAATGTTTTTGTCTCTGTGTTTCAATGGTAGGACATGTGATTAGGATGTGCATAAGTGTTAACGCTTCTTGGCATTTTTCACACGTTGGTTGTTCTTCCTTTGCGAGTAAGAAGTTGTGTGTCAGGTGTGTGTGTCCAATGCGAAGTCGGCATAATACAACTTCAATAAACCGTTGCTGGTGACGGCAGGTCTTCCATTCCCCAAGTATAGGTTTCACCAGGTGGAGCTTATTGTTCGTGCAGGTGTCCCATTGCTTTTGCCATTTTGCTAGTAGGGCCAGGCGAATTGTTCTCTGGATATCTTTAAGGGGAATTTTTACTTTTGTTACTGTTTTATGGGCTGCCTGGGAAGCATACTTATCTGCTTTTTTTGTTTCCGGGTATCCCAACATGACTTGGGACCCAGCAGAAACGGATGCAGGTTGCCTGGCTGTTTAAGTATACCATGTTTAGAATGTCGCCTACTATAGGCTCACATACTATAGGCTTTTTCAGTATCCTTGTGTATTCTAACTTGCTGTATAACTTGTTCGTTTTTTTTTTCGCTATGCTCCCTTTTTGTGCCCCTCCTGCTTGGTCTACGGACGGCAGTATGTAATAAATAAAAAAAAATAAAAAAGGTGTACAACCTTTCAATGTACGGTACCATTCGGGTGCCCGCCTCACTGGTGCGTCACTGGTGTTTCGCGGCTTCAAGCCTGTCTTCTTCGAAATTTTTTCGAAGAATTTGGCCCTCCAATGAAAATTTAGGGTGTGGCTGTTTGATTGATTGATATGTGTGGTTTAACGTCCACAACCACCATATGATCATGAGAGATGCCCTTGTGAAGAGCTCCGAAAATTGTGACCATCTGGGGTTCACGCGCACCCAAATCTGAGCACACGAGCCTACAGCATTTTCGGCTCCACCGAAAATACAGCCGCCGCAGCCGGGATTTGATCCTGAGACCTGCGGGTAAGCAGCCGAGTACCTTAGCCACAAGACCACCACGACGGGGCTAAAGGTTGGGGCGCAAAGCCGCTAAGAGAAAGGTATCCACGCCCGTACTTCGTATGATTTGCGTTATCGCATGTGCATGCCTTTTCTGTTTTTAATAATTCTCTTGAGAGGAATAAAAATAGAAAAAACTAAACGCTGAAAATGGCAGCAAGGGTGGCAGGGGAAGGAGGCGAGTGCTTGTACTGTCATCCGAGCATATTTCAAACTCACGGAAAACGGAGGGGTTGCTTGCTCGGAATTTCGCGTTATTTCCGGACGATTGTCACGCACGTGTTGAAATGTCTCTGCCCCGCTGATGAAGAGAGGCTAGTGGGAAGAGAGAAGAAACCAAACTGCACATGTTTGTTGTTATGGCGCGGCACATGCGAAACATGGTTTCGTCGAGACTTAGAAGTGTGGCAGCTTGGGCTAGTTGGTATGGCATGACGATAGTTATAGCGCGAGAACAAAACGGTGACACAGAGACTA